TGTATGGATATTTCTGCTCTCTAGCAAGGTAGGATCGAATGGTACCGCAAACAACACGGTTGAGAATTTTCCAATTNATGCCAATGATGACGTATTGTTGACACTTGATGTAGATTCTTCTTGTTTATTGTCTCTCATATTTGACACAAATATTATTTAATAGCTGACGACACAAATCAAGATTATTTCCTTTTCTGATGTAGAAGATCAGACTAAGCTGCAACCACGGAGCATACTCAGACAGAACCTTGACTCAATTACCAAGATAAATCTTTTCTGATGTGGAAGATCAGACTATGCTGCAACCACAGAGCATACTTAGACAGTACCTTGGCTCTGATACCAATTGTTGCGGAAGCCAAATGTATAGAGTGTGAATAAGTCACAACTACTATACCAAAAATTATGACAGCCACCAAATAATAAATAAGACAATAAAGCAACAATAAAGGGAACACCAGAATTTACGAGGTTCGGCTAATTTTGCCTACTCCTCAGACACAACCAATATTTTATTCCACTCCAAAATACAAGTGAAATAATACTAAAGAGAGAAGATACAAATGACTTAAACAGGTGAGAAGACAAATGAGAGGTGTGTTTAAATCCTAAACATTAGGCCTTCTTTTACAAGGGAAAATCTCCCAAACTCTTCTCCCAACCGATGTGGGACTTTGGCATTTTGCCAAACTTCAACATTATCAACATGGGCATAATTAAGTGAACAAACAATGTACCTGATTATGAGAACATCCAAAAGTCTTGATGTAAATAGTCTGCAAAATATTCATATTGACAGATATAAATCATAATCAAATAAGAATACACAGTACAAACTACAAAATTCAACTAATGAGTAAAAGGGGTTCTGCAAAAGGACGAAAAAGGTTACCTGAGTGCCAGGTATTTTGGGTGCAGAAGAGTCTTGCACTACTGTTAGCTTATTCGTTACACCGTTCTTTTTCCTTTGTTTTGGATTGACTCCAACGGCCGCCGGAACCGGTAACCGGAACCCTGGAGGCACTCCGGCGCCGGCACCCGCAAGTAAATCTTCAATGTCTTCCATTTGATGCACAGCAGCGTGCGTGAGAGAGAGATTTGTGTCGAAGACGAGAAGCTCAAAGGGTTCGGACTTCAGAGTGGTATGGGTCAACTCCTATTTGGGCCCAACGAAATCTTTTGTTTGTAAGTGTTGATCCAATATTTTTGGCCCAAGCAAAGCACTACTCATCCAAAAAAAATAAATAATTATGCGACACCTCAAACATATACATTGTATATACCATTCGTAGCTATATTTTCAGTAAATTTATAATTCGTAGCTATATTAAATTTTATAGCAAATTCGTGAAACAAGAGATTTATTGTTTTAACTAGAGAGCAAAAAGCTCTCGTACCTTAGTTGGTTAGAGCGTTCGTTTAGTTAGCTTGAGTTCGGCTCTCGACAAGAATGTTTTATTTTTCTGCATTATGCATTTTTTGTTAGTTCTATTTATTGCGCAAACGAATACACCATTGTATTCTGCATTGGTTACTGTTGATACATATTGTATTCGTTGGGCGAATGAATACAATTACGCGAACGAATACAGTTGATACAGGTTATATTCGTTACGAGAATGAGCGAACGAATACAATTGACACAAGATGTATCCATTGCACGTTAGAATACAAGTGATACAAGTTGGTAACAATTGAACAGTACCTATGAATGGTAATTATGCAAACTATAGTAAATAAGCTCTAAACTATAGTACTTTATGAAAATTCCTCGAGAAAAAAAAAACCTAAAAAATTCACTGGGCCCCGTATTTTGTCACCCCTATTTAACATGTATCGACTTTCTTTAAAAAGATTAATTGCGGGAATTTTTTTGAATTTTTAAGGGTGTTTTTGTTCAGATTTTATCTTTACATAAAAAACTAGTTAAATTTTGATTATTTTTTAAAACTGTAATTATTTTTCAATTACCAATTGTTAATAGACTTTTACCTTCTTTTCTTTTTTTTGCAAATATTTATTCAACTGAAAGATATTGGGCTTCAGTAGTTGGGCCTAGTGAGTGACTTGTAAAGGTGCACACTTGCTATAACCCATCAGACAATTAATAGCCCAGCTCAACTAACAGCTTGTTATAATATATTGTATTTAAAGTAACAATATGATACAGCGGGTAACAACCATCCAAACAAGTTGTAATAATAAAATGGGAAATTGACACTGGTGACACCGACTCTATCTTGTAATTATGTGGTTAGTTGTCACATCAGTGTCACAATCCCAGATTTTTAATGTACCTTCTAAGGGCATCTCCAACCTTTATCCTCATTTTGATCCCCAAAATGGGAATTTTTCCATTTTGAGGACAACTTACTTCAACCATTCCCCCATTTTTTCTCCCAAAAGAGAATATTTTTTTTTAATATTCTTCTCTCTCTTCTATATTATATTATTATCTTTCATTTAAATTTTATTTTTTAATTTCCATTAAACAAATTCATCTTTTATTTTCATTAATTTGTAATTTCCATTAAAACAATTCCACAAAATTTTAAATAATATAATTTGTAAGCATTTATTATAGATTAACTAATAATTCAAATAAAAGCGAAATCATTGCGATACAAGATTAATTAAATACATATTATATAACGATAAAATTCATTCGAAATACTACATAAATATTCAACTTCAATCTCTAGTATTCTCCCATAAATAATCTATTAATGCATTACAAAATGTAAAATAAGCATCTTTGTCCTTGATTCTTCTATGTTGACCTAAAAAATCTTGAAATCGTTGATTTTCATCTACTGTCATTTCTACTATTGGAGGTGGACCTTCCAAATCATCTTGAATCAGTGTATTAAGATCATGCTCATTCTCGATTATCATTTTGTGCAGTATAATATATGTAGTCATTATATCCACAGTCACAACCACAACAATCCTCGTCCTCATTCACTCAATACTTTAATGGTTTTGGTGTATCTGGAAACGACATATCTCCCAACTAAGTTATTATGCTATTTACCGCAGTTTCAATTTAATGCATTTTCAATTTTCATGTATTTCTAATTTTAATATATTTTCATTTAATGTATTGTCAATTTTAGCAACATCTAATATTTTATATCTGCACCTTTCAATTTTAGTAACATCTAATATTTTATTTTTGCACCATTCATTTTTTGGGATGATCATATATTTTTTGTACAATTATAATTTATAATAAAATTAACTTAGAATTTTACATAAAAATAATAAATGCACGAAAATTAATTTATCATAATTATATGCCAAAGTTAAGATGTAAAATTAATATTATAAAGATATTACATAAACATAATTAGTAAAAATATTTTGAATTATGATTGCATTTATAAGAAAATAATTGTATTAATAAATCATAAAAATCTAAATATTCAAGCTAACAGAAATAGAAAGAGAAGATAAATTATCATATGTAAATGCTAACTTAAAAAAATTATTACACATGCCTGAGACATTTAACAAATTAAATTTATTAGTAATATTTATTACCATGGCTGCTAATTTCGTAACATTCACTATATTGTTTTTTTTAATCTAATATAGTATTTATTATAATGAGTTTTTATTTTTTCTGTCCAAAAATATTGTACCAATAGTGCTTAATAGTAGGACAACAGTGTCATTCAACTTTATAAGGAGATTTTGGTATTTCAACATTCATTTGAGATGTTCACACTAATAATACAGCAGAGATTTTTTCTTTCCTATACCATATATGAAACCTTATTACCAAAAATGTGCATAGTTTCTAATTTACCCGCCCTGTCCACATTTTTTCTACAGTTATTATACCAATCATTAAATACTAATTAATAGTAGCTGAATATTCCTAATTTGTCGAGCTAAAATTGAGGAACAGAATATTCTAAAAAGATTTGACGTAAATCAGATCAAATCATATTCTTCCAGATATTCCTATTTAGGCGCGCTACAATTATGGAAGTAAATATTCTTCCAGATATTTTTCATCATTGATAGCCATTAAAAAGCTTGAAAACTTTGAATTCAAATTTGGGTTTTCAAAAATCATTATTTGTTTGGATTGGGTGTTGTTTAAAATAATCGGGAATATATTTTGGAGTTTATATCTCAATTTTGAGGGGTTTTGGTGAAGATTAGACTTGTTTTTGACTGAATTTCAGATTGAAACTCGAAGAAGAAGAAGAAGAAAACACAATTATGCTACAATTGGATGAGAATTGGGATATAAAAATTCAATGTACCAGTTTGTAGATATTTTGTACATAAATTGTAGATTATTTGTATTCTGATTGTAGATGCTTTGTTTTCCGTTTTCACAAATAAAAAACGGCTAAAACATCTACAAATCTTCTGCAAAAAACGCAATTACGTCAAAAATGCCAATTATGCTACAATCGAATCGGAATTGGGATATTAAAATTTAATATACCCAGTTTGTAGATATTTTGTAGATAAATTGTAGATTATTTGTATTCTAATTGTAGATGCATTATTTTCTGTTTTCACAAATCCAAAATGACTAAAACTCCTACAAAATCTCTGCAAATAATGCAATTATGTCGAAAATACCAAATTAAGCTATAATTGAATGAGAATTGGGATATTAAAATTCAATGTACCCAGTTTGTAGATATTTTGTAGATAAATTGTAGATGCTTTGTTTTCTGTTTTCACAAATCAAAAACGACTAAAACTTCTCAAATCTTCTGCAAAAAACAGTCTACAATTAATCTACAATTTTTCTACAATTTCTGCAATATGTCTTCTTCTTCTTCTTCTTCTTCTTCTTCTTCTTCTTCTTCTTCTTCTTCTTCTTCTTCTTCTTCTTCTTCGAGTTTCAATCTGAAATTCAGCCAAAACCAAGTCTAAATCTTCACCAAAACCCCTCAAAATTGAGATATAAACTCCAAAATATATTCCCAATTATTTACAACAACACCCAATCAAAACAAATAATGATTTTTGAAAACCCAAATTTGAATTCAAAGCTTCAAAGCTTTTTAATAGTTGTCAATGGTGGAATTGCTGCTCTCTTATCTCTTTGAAGGTGTGTTCTTCTTCATTGAGAAAATTTGAAGCTGAAGGTAAATGTGTGTATGAACTTTGAAGATTTGACTTCAATTTGGATGAACTTTGTTGTTTTTCATTGATGAACTTCAACTGGAGTAAAATGGAGAACCAACTTTGTTGAAGGGTTTCTTCAATTTTCTGTGAATTTAGAGGGAGAATTTGGTTTCAGAAGATAGAAAATGGTAAAAAGAACGTGGATGTGGGTAAAACATGGGTGAGACTGAGGGGTTAGGAGGGAGAAACATGTAGATTCCTTTAATTAAGGAGTAATAAATGTACAATTAATTATACCCTTAATTAATTATGGTATAAAATTTATAATTTATTATACTAAGTGTAATTAAGTCAAACCTTAAACATTGAGGATAATAAGGTTTCTATGTGGCATAGGAATATAAAAATTCCGCATGAGAAATACTATTATGTATACTTTGGGCCAAGTTATAATTTTCATAATTTAGGGTGAGGATTGGAGACACCTTTATACTTCGTGTTAAGCTAAAGGTTTAAATAACTTAGCTAAGAAAAATAACTTGAGTGTTACCAATTGAGTTATAAATAGTCCCCATTACCCAATGGACCCTACTANAAGATCATATTAATTTTGATGAGTTAATTAAAATATTTCTTTTCTTTGTATGAATATAAGTACATAATTTGCATAACTGATAGTAGGCTATATTGTTGATATTTACACCTTAATATGACCATACTTCGTTGTTGTTTTATAGATAAATTGCCAACAAAAATCCTCTGAATAATGTTCTTTTGTTTCGCAGGGGATATTATATGAGAGGAAGTAACATGGAGTATTTTGGAGGCAATAATGTGATGAAAACGCCCACTCGAGAAGTATCCGAGCACTAAGAAGCAGAAAATGGCCTGGGCAAGAAGGCCATCTCGACCGCGGTGAACCGCGGTAGATTAACAACGTAAGGCAGAAAGGTCAGCATTCACCGCGGTTGACCGCGGTTGACCGCGACCGTGATGCACTGTTCACGCTGCTGGAAAGGTTGAGGACCAAAGTGTAAAATCAGGAAAA